CTTGGCCTCAGGGCCTTTGTACTGTGTTCCATCCCCTGTTCTTATTTTTATATTTTTATTCTTAGACAGGACCCCACTTTATCACTAAGTAGTCTGGGCTGAGTTTGAACTTGCAGCCCCCTCTTGCCTCAGCTTCCCAGAGTGTTGGGATTATTGGCGTGCATCACCATGCCCAGTTCACTAATTAAAATTTTGATTTTTGCCCTGGATATGATAAACTTCAGTAGGGGAACACTGTACTAGCATCAAGCTGTCCATGGTAATGGGAATAAATATCAAGTGTATGAAATGGAATCCCTTTCAACCCTGGTATCTATCAGGTAAACTGCACAAGGAGTTTTGGTGTGTTAATTTTCAAAATCACTTTCTAACTAGGTTCCTGAAGACCTGATTTAAGCTGTAGGTATCTGAACCATGTGCTAAAAAACCCCAGATGTAATGCAATTCTAAGTCTGTACATAAAAGACTGCCATTTATTGTTATAATAAAAAGTTTAATATTATGGAACTTTGAACTGAATACAAACTCACTTTTTTCTTTCCCATACTTGTTTTTTATTTCCATAAATTCTTAAGTAAACTAGGCATTTCATCTTGAAATAAAGCAAGACTAAAAGGAATATGATACTGTTGCTATATTCAAATAAACTTCATTATACACTTTCACAAAAAAGGCATACAAATATGTTAGTCATAACTCATTTATTGAATGAATAGTTATCTTCTGCTTTTCTCCCGGGGAAAGCTGTCTGTTAAATAATCTGGGGGGCGGGAATAGAAGGCTACTCCAAAACTGCGGCCTTGCTCTGCTCTGTTAAATGACGCTTTACAATCGCTTCTTGGCTTTTTGGCTAAAATCAAGTGAAATGATGCTTTACAGTTTATAAAGCCCTTTAATTATATGAATACTTGGGGTTCTGCCCCCTCCCGTCTCTCTGTCCCTCCCCCTTTCTCTCCCCCCCATATAAATGAAAAAGAGGACTGACCACAATCTCAAAAACTTATACTGTCTATCAAACTTATCAAGACCCTGTCTCAAAATAAAAGGGGCCAGGCTGTAGCTCAGTGGGAAAGCCTTGGGTTCGGACCCTAGTACTGGGAAACAAAACAAAAAAGAACAACCAACCTGATCTAAGACGCTTGCCTGAAGCACTTTCAGGCTCTATCCTAAAATCAAGCCTGAGAGTTTTGTGCATTATGTACCCCAACCCAGGCCCCGTAAGGACTTGAGAAATCTCAACTCTTTGAAGGGTACTTAAAACTAAACTACAGCAATTAATGCCTCTGTCTCTTTATTATGAGTTTCTTTTGGAAAAAAATGAGTAACAGAATCATAAAATCAAAAGCTTGTGTAAAAATTCACTTGAGGGCTACCTGAACCAAGTTGGACTGAAGCCAAGGGAAAGTGATCAACAGAGAAAACTGAACTTCCTGGGATAAAAGTACAACCTTCCTAGTTGTCAAAAGGTTCCTACCCTCATAGCCACTGCATTCTTGGCTGTCATGAACTTCTTAAAAGTGGTAAATAAGCATAGAAATAGAACATCTCAGAGCTGTGAAGATCAGGGCAAAGATGGTTATTCTCACCCAAAAGATGAGGAAATCAAAATAGGCATGGTCTAGCTGCTGCTGATTCTTCTAGGCACCTAATCTAGCAGCCTGGTCTCCTCACTTGGGGTCTTCGGATTACCTGGATTACCTGGTTGTTGGATTTCATAATCCAACTCACCAGTGAAATGAAAAAAAGTCACCCCAAATATATAACAGGCCAAGATTACAAGCTCAGTTTTACCAATCCAATAGGTATTTTTCAGACAGTACCGCCATCTGGGCTCCCCACTTACCATTCTCTTCTGGCTGCCTTCAGGAGAGAAAACCCAGAGGCTGTTTCTGGATGGGCCTGCTTTATAGCGCTGGCGAACCAATGGCTGCCCCGGGAAAGCCTGGTCTCATTCTGAGAATTTGCCATTTCCGGACCTGACCCCTGCTGCCTTCATCCAGAAGGATGTGGCCTGGTGGAAAATGACCTGCCTGCCGGCACAGCACATCCCGTATTTAGGAAATGAACATTGTGTGTTCGCTTTCCCCCCGCCCGCAAGGCAGGAAGAGAGCCACAGGCCCTTCCCCAGCTTGAAACCAATGTCGTCACCCTCCCAGGGGGATACCTTGCTTTTCCTCTCCTGAGAATAGCTAGTGACGCCATCCAGGAGCTCTCAAATGCCCTGGGCTGACCAATTATAGTTTTTCTTGGGATGCTGCCATTACAAAAGCATTTCTCAAAAGAAATGAGAGGCGGCAGAAAACGCTCCTATATCTGGTACAGCCACTCACAGCCCTCACCAGCATGTCAAAAACCACTGTGAACCTGTATATGGTCCATTCACTGAGTGTGCAGGCAGCACCGGGAGCCTTAGGCAAGCAAGACCACACCCACGGGAAGTGCTGCGTGCAGTTTTGGGCATATCCAGCTGTGGAGAAGAGATGGGAGGTCTCAGGAAGGGCACACTGCAGGCCACGTGCGTCAGAAAAACCAGCGGGGTCAGGCTGCACAAGGAGCTAATTATACACTTCCCACAGCCGCAGGGATAGGGAGTTTTCATTTAAAGTAGCAGCTATAGCTCATGTGCTGGTTAAGTGGACAGATTCTATCCATGGGTCAGTGCAGCATGGGCCGAAAGTCAATGCTCTGAGTCATTCAGGAGGGGAAAATGAGGGTAGCACCTGGGGGGTTGCCCCGGAGCAGATCACACTCAGGACGGGTGCCTCGGGGGTATTCAGAAGTGGTTGGCACCCAGCCTGGAAAGTGACACATACTGCAGACCCCAGATATGTGTCTGTCTAACACTGTCACCTCCAAACTAGGAAGGTCACGCTGGTTTTTTGCTGAAATGATTATTAGCTCTCAACTCCCGGGGCCATTTGGAAAGTCTTAACAGTTTTATCACTCTGGAACATGATTCAATCACTCACCTTTATAACTATAATTTGTATATATCAACAAAACACCAAAAACACAGCCACACTTGTTTTAAACTTGATTATTCTGAGTTTTGTTCACGTCCAAATATTCTGCTTGCAGCTCCTTAAAGGAGAAAGATAACTTCAGTCAAGTTGCCTCCAGTCCACCTGTACAGTCCACCTGTATTTTGGAACTAAGAGGTAGGAGAATATCTTCCTGGGTCCCCAAAGACACAGTCACAAGTGGCATGTTGGCCAGGGTAACTGCAGAGAGTGGATCAGTCAGCCTTGGGGGGCATTTGATACCCAAACTGGAGCAGGAAAGAGGACAAGGAGGGTCTGTACACTGACTTCAGTTCCTACATGCTCCCCAACTTCCCCTGGATATTGTCTTGTGTATTTGGGGCTTAGATGAACACAGTTAAAAATCTGCATTTCATAGATGAGGAATTTTTCAGGGTCTTCTTCAGAGCCTCGGAAATCATGGTATAGAAATAAAATGAAAAAAATGGAAGGTAGGGCTGGGGATTTAGCTCAGTGGTGCTGCTGCCTGCCTTGCAAGTACAAGAACCCAAGTTTGATCCCTGTATACAAAAAAAAAAAGAAGGTAAAAGACAATGGACATGTGTGTCAACTGAGCTCCACCCAGGTCCTGGAATTTATCTTCTTTGTGTTGAAAAACCATTTTCTTAATCTGGGCAGGGTAACACACCCCTATGATCCCAGCACTAGGGAGGCTGAGGCAGGAGAGTTGCCAAAAGTTCAAGGCCATCCTGGGCTACACAGTGAGTCTGAACTATAAAACTATAAAGTGATATCTCAAAAACACCAAAAAAAAAAAAAAGGAAAGCCACTTTCTTCATTTCCTTCTTTATGAAGGGGATAAATCTAATCTTTGATAGCTTGGGCTACCTATAAAAAGCTGACATCTATTTTTTGTTTATTTGTTTTTTTGAGGCAGGGTCTCCCTTTGTAGCTCAGGCTGGCCCTGAACATACTATGTAGCCCAGGATGGTCTCAAACTCAGTAATCTTCCTGCCTCAACCTCCCAAGTGCTGGGATTACAGGTATGCACCACCACGCCTGTTCTCTGAATTTCCTGGGACTCCGAAACCAGAGAAAGTTGAGTCAGTCTTCTCGATGGCTAGAATGAAATATGGAGCTACAGATCTGTGGGAAGCCACAGATTGGTCATTATGTGCTCCAAAGAACAGAAAACACTCCTTAGCCCTAAGTAGGAGAGTGCCTAAGTAACAAAGCATTTTAATTTTTATTTCTTGCCATCCTTCCATTCCATAAGCCCCATGTATATCCTTATTTTTTTAATTATCCCTTTTTATTCCTTGAGTGATCTTGACTTGATCTCTGATGAATGCAACAGAGAACCATAACTCAACACTGCAGCAGTGAGAGCTACTTCTTGCATTTAATGTTAGAAGAATGAGCAACAGGTATGTTGGCACAAACCCGTAATTTCCACTACTAGAGTGAAGCATGAGGGTCACTATGTCTGAGCCCAGCCTCAGCAACTTAATGAGATCTGTCTCAAAAACAAAACAAAGCGAGACTGTGGACGTAGTTCAGTAGCAGAGCACCTACCTGCCGGCATACTTGACATCCTGCATTCCAATCCCAGTACCACTAAAAGTAAATAAATAAATGTAGGCTTTTAGAGGTGTTTCTCAAAGCACGGTCTTAAATTCCTTTTAGGAGTTTCACTTATCTTTCTTTACCTTAAGTGTAACAGTGCTTTCTATTCTTAAAAATACAATTTACAGGGCCAGGGATGTAGCTCAGTGTTGCCGCCACCTGCCTCACAAGCACAAGTACCTGAGTTCGATCCCCAGTACCTCCTCAAAAAATATAATTTACATGTCATCTGCATGTGTGTGTGTGTGCACATGCACATGTGAGCACACGTGTGTATCTCATTGAGGATTGAACCCAGGGCCCTCACACTGAGCTGTATCCCCAGCACTTTTTCATTTGAAGACAGAGTCTCAGTGAATTCCTCAGGCTAGGCTGAAACTCATGATCCTCCTGCCTCAGCTCCCAGAGGGCTAGGATTACAAGTGTACGCCACCACACTGGCTTATCTTTAATTTTCTAAAGGTGAAAGAAATACATAGTTTTAAACAAAATTTCTATGAAACAATTGTAGAAAGTTAGAAATAACTTTTCCTTTTACGTACATTTTCACCTTTCAGAGGTAATAGTGGTTTATATTTGCTTTTTTCTTACATAATGTTTATGATTATACTGATATGTGTTTTACTTTTTTGTTTCTTTCCTTCGTTCCTTCTTTTTTTTTTTTTTTTTTTTTTTTTTTTTTTTTTTTTTTTGTACCAGGGATTGAACTCGGGTCCATGTGCTTGCAAGGCAGGTCACCGAACCACTGAGCTAAATCCCCGGCCCCTCTTTTCTTAATTTTTGAGATGGGATCTTGCTGTACTGCCCAGGCTGGTCTTAAATGTCTGGGCTCAAGAGATCCTGCCTCCACGTACGTCCCAAATAGCTATACTCACTGTACTCAGTATAAATACATTTCTTTCAAATGTGTGCTCATTGTACATCTACCAGCCCCTGATGAGGAATGTAAACATTATGTACTGTGAACATGTACTCATAAAAGTAAATTTAAGGACAAATGTGTGATTGTGATTCTCTTTCACAGAATAACGTATTATAGATTGCTATCCAATTTTTTCCACTTAAAAAATATAACACCAACTCTGGAGGAGGGCATCGAGATGTTGGTCAAAGCATATAAAATTTCAGTTAGACAGGGACTGAGGCATACTGACGACCTCAGTGGTACAGCCCTTGTGCAGCATACTTGAGGCCCTGAGTTCAATCCTGAGCAAACAGAAAATAAAAAAATAAATAGGAAAGAAAGGGAAAATTTTTTCAGCTAAAGATGAGTAATAGGTCTGATCTATTGTACCAGGTGGTAACTGTAGTGAATAATAATGTACTATATACTTGAAGATTGCTGGATGTTCTTACCACAAGGAAAAGTATGTGCAGAAATAGAGACTTCCATAGCTTGAGTTAGCCCTTCTGCAATGTGAACATGTATCGAAACATCACGTTTACATTTCAAATATACGTACTTTTTTAAAAGCCAGAAGTGGTGGTGAACAGCTATGATCTCAGAACTCTGTGAGGATGAGAGAGGAGAATCACAGCTTGATGACTTAATGAGACCCTGTCTCAAAGTAAAATATTAAAAACTAAAGGGCTGAGGATTTGGTCCCCTCAAAGGCTCTGGGTTCAATTTCCAGGTCCACAAAAATAAGAACACTGATTGGGTTCAGCACATCAGAGGTGCTGAAAAGCTTTCAGAGGACAGAAGTTCACTGGGCTCCTGTTATCCTCCTGAGTCCTCTCCCTTGCACATTAAGCCCTAAGGATGGTAATGGCTTTTTGTAGCTGCTGGCCTCTAGGCACCTTAGCATCTCTTGGTTGTATACTTAGTTCTCCTCAACTTGCAGAAGTAAAGACTTCCTTAGACACCTGCTCATCTGAACACTTTAGGGTGTTTCCTGCCAGGACCATCTCTTACAGGACCCTTTACAAGATCCTACATATGACTGTCATGTCTTAGAGGAACAAGGCATGATTCATCTATCCATTCCTTTATTGACAGACATGTGCCATGTTTTCAAATGAGCTGCTTATTACAAATAATAGCTCAGTGAACATCCCTCATGTGTGGGTCTATGTACATGTGTGGATACTCTCACAAGTATTTCTGTAGGAGAGATTCCAAAACTGGGACTGCTTGAACAAAAGTCATGCACATTTTAAATTTGATAAACGTTTTATTTTCCTACTGAGGAGATATCCGACAGTTTGCTCTCCCTAGGGACACATAATCAATGAACAACAAGCAAGCTACAGCCGTAGTCAAATGTGCAAGTTTAGTCCACTAATCCAAAAGAAATCATGGATATTTTTAAATCTAAAAATAAAGTAAGTCTTTATGAAGGAGTTTCTGAGTCTTCCAGT